GGAGGAGGAGGAGGAGGAGGAAAAAGCACCAGGCAGTTGATCATCCTAGGCAGCTGCTGTACGGTTTCAGGCGGGGTGCCGGAGTGCGTGGGTGACCAGTTCTTACAATCAGGCGTCCAAGATCCCAGTTCTTACATTCCCTGAGGTCCCTTCTGGGACGAGGGGAGTGCCCGGAGTCCTGGGTGGACACGAGAGTGTTCGTAACTTGCAGTGGGTGCCTGCACAGCTCCTTACTTGTGCACCACCAGGCCTCTGTCAGGGAATAGTGATTTTCCATCACTTGCTGCCTCAGCTAAATCTGCAACAGTGCCCCAGGGGTCAGAGGCTCCAGGTAACAAAGACAGAAACTCTGGAGCCTCCAGTTATCTGTCCCACCCCACTCCAGCCCAAGGTTCTCTTGGGCCAGAGCCCACGCCCCTAAGCAGAGCTGCCCACAGACCCAGAAAAACCCTTGAAGCTGGCACTGCCACCGATCAGAAGAGCTGCTCTGAGCATCTCAGGACCCTTCTAGACTTTTCTTGTAGTCTCTATTGCCCTCAGCTACTGTCTGGTATTTCCCATGGTGTCAGATTCCGAACTTCCACCCCAGCGCTGGAGGGCTGACTCCACCTTCTGCTTGCCTGAGGGCCAAAAGCTGCAGAAGCTCTTGGTGTGTGTGCATGTGGGTGGGTGGGGTGGAAGGCTGCAGGGACTGAACCACAAAGTCCTCATCAAATCTCAGTAAGTCCCTAAATTGCCAAGGATGGTCTTGAACTTCCAGTACTCCTGCCTTAACTTCCCAGTACCCTGGCCTTCCAAGCATGCGCTGCCAGCCCCACCACAAAAGCACCTTTGCAAAGCCTCTGGCCTGGAAATGTGCCATCCCTGGCCACCACCTGGCACAGTCCACCTGCCCCCCCTTACTCTCCTCTCCTCTGGCTTTTCCCCTTTGGCCTCCAAACCCACCCAGGTCCTTGCTGCCCTGCAGCGCCCTCCCTCCACTGTGGCCAGGTCTGTCCCTGACTCATGCGCTGACCCCCCTTGGTCACCCCAACCCTCCTCCTGCCTGGCTCCTGCTCTGCCACTCTGCTGAGATTGTTGTCCAAGGTCAGCAGCTCCCTGACCCCAAGTACTTCTGGGTTAGGGTTAGTGCCATGGCTTACGCTGTCCTCTTCCTAGCGCAGCGCAGGCACGCTCCTCTCCATCACCACCGTGCTCTTCCCCTCCCTCCCCTTCTTCATCTCTGTCCCCTTCCCATTTGAAAAAGAGTCACTGTCTTGCTCTATTTCCTGTTTTCTCTTTATTTATATTTTGGATTTTTCACATAAGAGAACCCACATGACACTGAAGATCAGTGTCCGAGTTGTTTCACACTGTGGCCTCAAGACGCACCTGTTTTCCTGTAAGTGACCTTCATTTTCTTTGTGCCGAGGAGCACGCCACTGTGTGTAAACGCCACCGCTCTCCATTGGTCTCTCGCACTCTTAACATGCTCTCTGCACCTTAGGGGAGACCACCCTGTGTGCACAGACTGCTGCGTCCACTCCTGGGCCTCTTGGCCCTCTCAACACACCTGTCCAGGGTGTCTCTCAGCCTTGCTCTGCTGTGCCAGATGATGCCGGTGTCGGGCCTGGCCCTGCCTGCTTCCCCGTCTAGGACCCACAACACCACTTCCCTGCAGAACTAGTGACCTCTGCATGGCCTGTTCCATGACATGAAACAGGTTTTCACAGTTAACGCCCATGTGTGGTCAATCCTGACTGTTCTACCTTCCCGACACCTTGCAGGTTCTTCCTCTCCTTCCCCAAGTCCAGCACCTTACCCCATGCTCCCTGGACACTGCTTCCTGGGACCAGTGCGCTCGAGGGTTCCTCTGCTTTGAGAAAGTGCTCTCCTTTTAAGGTGCCTGAAGCCTGACTCTAGGTTTTAGAGAAAGGAGGCTGAATTCAGACTCTGCCCTGAGCGGCAGTGTGAGCTGAAGGAAGTGGTGTGATCCTGCTGGGCTTGCTTTGCAACCTGCGGATAAGGATGATAGCTTCTGCTCCGCAGGTTATCGTGAGAGCTCAGAGGAGTACATGGCGTGGTAGGGAGTGTGCGTCGCATTGGCACCCAGTGGGCATTCGTTACTGGGGACGGCGGCTTCATCACTGCATCCTTGTTTTCAGCCTTGGCGTCTCTTTCTTCCTGCATACCATATTCCTGCTGGCTGCAAGCCTGACCCCTGCACACTCCACTCACTTGGTCCCCGGCTGGACCTCTGCCCTCCCAGCACCCACCTGCACTGCCTGCCTCTCCCTTGTCTGCTCAGGCCAGAACCAGTTCACTCCCACTGGAGAAGGAGACCTTAGAGACCCTGAAGTCCAGCCCTTTGTTTTAGGTTTGCAGATGAGGCACAGAGAGGCTGAGTGAGGAGGCTGAGGCTGTGCGGCCTCATGACAGAGGCACATGGGGTGCAGAGCCCTGCGGCACAGCAGATGCCTTCTCTGCTGCACCTCTCAGTGTGCCCTCACAGGCACAGCCCCTCCTCACTGGCCTTCCCAGCCCACCCATGTGCAAGGGGACATGTTTCTGTGACCTGTGCCACTGCTGCTACTCTCCACCGCATCTTAGTCTTCCTTGGGTGTGAGCTGCACCCACCTCCAGGACTGGCAGGCCCCTTGCAAGCAGGTTCTCTGGTCGAGCTGGCCGCAGCTTCATAAGCTATGGCTTGCGACTCACTGCCAGCTGGGTGCACTTGGCTTGCACCTTTCTGTGGGTGGGGGTGGGGGCTGGGATGCTGTCGGAAAGGCTGGGGGCAACCTCAAGCCTGGCTGCAGGGTGGGTCTTACACAGCACTAAGCTCTGGAAGTCTCTGGAAGACAGGCTCGGCCTAGCGGCATGGCATGGGATTTAAGCCCTGCCCCTCAGGCACCAAGCTCTTTAGTGAGACCAGTAGAGAAGGTGTGACCAAGAGAGGCTCTCTGATAAGGAGGCCAGGAGTGCAGCTGCAGAGCCACGGGTGGGCTCAGGAGGAGGTTGTGTGAGGTGTGGCCAAGGCAGAGGGCCATGTGTGGGGCTGGAGTCCCAGTGACTAGTGTCTCCCGGGCCATGCCCTTCCCATGCTCTCCCTAGTTCAGGATACTGGAAAAGCACCCTTCTCCCCTCAGCTGTGGAGCAGCCAGCTCCAACATGCTCTCCTGACCCCAGAAGTCATGGCACCCAGTGGCGCACGCGTGCGGTTGAGAAGAGCAAGGTGGAGAAAAAGTCTCCTCATCCCCAAAAGAGAGAAGATGCTGTGTCCCTGGGCCTGTGCCCCCTCCTTGCTACCAAAACGCAAGCTACAGTTCAGACAATGCTCAGGGCAGGACAGATGCTGTGCAGACAGCTCTCCCAGCACCCGTGGGGAAGCTCACGCCCAGCAGCGGGGAAGGCAGTGGCAGGGCGGGCGGAGGGCAGAGCTGGGATGCAAGGGGCTGTGTGGTGCCGTTGCAGGATCATCCGGACCAAAGTCCAGCAGCCCTTCCACCCGACGCCAGACGGGCCGGGGACGGGAGTGAGTGCCCCCGGGCACACCATTGGTAAGAAGGCCCAGGAAGGCGGGAGGCCAACCCTGTCCCCAGAGCACGGAGAACGGTCCGCTCCAGCGAGATCCAGGGCCACTGTGTCTGTGTTTCGACTTCTCCCCAGCTCCTGCAGGCGGGGTCTTCCTGGGAGATTAGCTCAGGCCACCATCCACCTCTCACTCAGTCTCCGCTCTGCCTTCATATCCCTCCCCTTTTACATCAACAGTTTTCTTTCAGCATTTCTTCTTCTCCTTCTCCTCCTTTTCCTTTGCCTTCTCTTATTCCTGCTCTTCTTCATTAACTTCTATTTTATGGAATTCTATCTCTATATCTGTCCCTCTTCCTTTCAAGTCCATTCTCCTACTCCATTAAAAAAAAATTAAATTATCTTTCTTCTTCCCTCCTTTCCCCTTCCCCTTTCTCTCTTCTCTCTTCTCCTCTCCTCTCCTGTCCTCTCGCCTCCCCTCCCCTCCTCTCCTCCCCTCTGCTTCCCTTCCCTTTCCTTCCCTCCCCCTTTCCCTCCCCTCCCCTCTCCCTCCCC